AACTGGCCAGGACAAGACGCTAAAAACATTAGGCAATCAAATCCATTTTTCCAAGGCTCCTTGATTAAAAACTAGTGTTTTTAACATAGCCATGGCACCCTATATTGAAATTTAAAATACGGTTTTTTATTAAGCGAGAATTTCAAAAGTTGTCATTTTCTATCGAATAAAGTAAACAAATACCGAGGGTGCCATTTAAAAATCAAAAGTTGTAGTCATTTCCGGGGAGATAAGAAGTAACCAAAAACAATTGAATACGTCAGTCAATCCTAATTTATGTCATATACTAACATATCAAATCTCGTTTTTTTATTTGAGAAAAATAAAAAAGTTATAGGGGTGAGCCACTTTTGAGACGCACCCGGTATTATTCCCCTATATGATATGGGTAGAGTGAAAATATATGTAAAATTATATTTTACTGTTGTGACTGACACAAAATCCTCAGCAGCTTTTTGTTTATAAATAATTTTAACTGATGAAAAACTAAAAAGAAGGTATATTTTCTCCATACTTATCGTTAGCAGTAAAACACTATTTAAATCAGTTTTGCAAACCTTTTAAAATAGAATTTCCCACAAAGACGGTCAACATTTTCCGTTTTTCTTAAAAATTCCCACGAGTTTTCAAATCTAATATAGTGTCGTCAACACAATACAGATATTATGTTTTTTAACTGAAAATTTAAACATTTTCTAAACAAATTAATATCGATATAAACTTTTCAATTTTGTTTTTCCCGCAAAAAAAACTTATAGAGGTGTTTCTGGGATCGCTATACAGGGTGGTCCGAACTGTATTTCGGAAACTTCGGCAGCATATTCTACAGATAATAATAAGTAAAAAAGTTCGTATAAGTGCATGTTCTAAAATGCTTAGTTTCGAGATACAGGGTGTAGAAGTTACATTTTTATTTCGATTTTTTTCAAATAATTTATGAAGTAACATCAATATTTAGATGAAAATTGGTGTCTGGGAGTTTTCTGATATGAGAAATCTGATTTGATGTCAATATGACTCCCATTTGTAGAGGGCGCCACCTACATATTTTTTAACTGGTTTGAAGATTTATTAATCGAAAAGATATTTCTTTTCGCCCGTACCTGTATAATATTGCTGGGTTGTAGAAAAAAAAAATAAAATTGCGACATTTTTTACGTAAAAAAGGTCTCTTGGTAAAAATCGCTACGAGCAATGGTTCTCGAGATATTTAGAATTTAATTTATAAATACCTGTCAATCATTGACATAAATTAATCTTGTTGACTAAAATAGTTATTAGACTGAAATCGTATATTTGAAATGTTTTTGTGCTAAAAGTTCAACAGAAACTGTTTTGCCATCATTTTTTCCCAGAAAAAATTTATGACTAATTTAAAAAATAATAATTTCCCAATTTTTTTATTTCAGTCAAATAACTATCTAATCAACGTGTTTATTTTTTTGTGAATATTGATATGTATTGACCATTTCCATTCTATATATCTTGCAGAACGGCTGCTTGTAGCGACTTTTACCAAGAGACATTTTTTCGTAAAAAGTCACGGAGATGCAAGGATACTATAGAGATAAGGATAGTTCGATTCCTATCTCCTGCACTGTCAGTTTTTAGTATTGAAAATACTTCTGGCCGCGTTTATATGGGACCCATCTTTCAAAAAACGACATGCTCGATGCCACACGAGTTCAATAACCTGCCTAATCAACTTGTCAACACGTAAGTCGATAGTTTAGCCGGCGTTGATCATCGAAGGACGTTTGAGGGCCGAAATGAGGTCTTATTAATTTATCAGTGTGTGTGTGTGTGTGTGTGTGGGCCAACTATTTTATGGATATGGATGTTTGTCTGGGCCGGCGGATAAAGAAAGCCCATATTATTTTAAAAAAGAATATGCGTCAAGGCATATGGGTTGTTAGGTACACTTTGGCTATTTTAATCTAACTGTTTCCGTATGAGAAGCAAGGGACAAATCAAACGTGAGAGAGTGGAATCACATAAATAATAAATTTAGACTGATGCAATATTTTTTCTTGGCGCGTAGGATAGGTAAATGCATTAAAGGGAATAATTAATTAAATCATTAAGTTCCAAAACATAATAACTCGGATCTCATCGGATCTGCTGATACATTTTGCTAAAATTTAGGCTATTAGGACCTATATTTTTTATGATTATTACTTTTTTAATTAACAACTTAGGCCAAAGAAGAAGCTTGCATGGTTTTCACCGCCAACAGGCGTAAAAATACATGAATCCAAGGCGTTGCCAAATATTTATTGAGATAAGATTTTTGAATATTGTTGTAAATAATAATTATCATTTAATTAGTGCTAACTTATCAAAGTTCACAACATGGCGAAATTTCAACAAAATCGGTCAACGGATCTTTGGGATATTAATAAAAAAGCTCTATTAGAAAACACCTTGACACCCTGTATCTTTAAAATTATACATTTCCGGACACATGTTTATATGAACTTTTTACCTTAAAATACTCAAAGAATCACCTCCTGAAGTTTGGCCAGATACTTAATTAACACCCTGTATTTAAAAATGACTAGCTAGTGATCTAGTAAGCTATGTTTATTTTAATGGGAAAAAATACATTTCATAAAAAATAAACAAACTCATAATACAAATACTATGCACTAATTAATTCATTTTAAATGTATCTAAATAGGCATTTTAATAATTGAAAAATGGTCAGGAGCACTTAAAATCACTTCATAGAATATACCAAATATGCAAAAAAATACAATAAAAAAACCACAAATGGCACATTAAAATCTGCATTATCTGAAATCAAACTATACCTAAACGGCTAATAAAATAATAGTGACAGGACTAAATAAAAGTGACAAGACGCCGACATCGATAAAGCGATGAGCAGTTTTAAATAATTATTATATTATTCCGAGTTATTATTACATACGTGATTTACAATGATTGTAATACAGTAGCATTCCTTTAAATAAATTTTAATTTAAGTATTGTTAATATCAAAGACATCTAAATAAAAGGAGACGAAACAATTTACATTTTACCGCGATCACGAACCGTGTTGCACAAAAATCGATGATGCCAATTTTAAGTGACCGGTGGTAGATTTCGGCTGATTACGGTTTGAGTTCTAAATGCTATTGTCATTACAAGGTCATTAGTCTAAATATTTGTGTAGATATATAATTTTAATTATAATACATTAATTATACTAGGATTATACCTTTGAAATTATTATTAGTTTTCTAATTAAATTTTATTAAAATTACGATTAAAATATATTAGGGAAATTACTAAGGCAATCCGGCATCGCTACGGATTAATTTTACTACAATTGTCGGAATCTGTAGAAATTACGCTGACATTTGACGTATTCATTCAACTTTTGTCCAACGGAGCATTGTTGCGAGTTTTCTGCGACCGTTGGAAGTGTTTGTGGATTTCGGACAACTTTCGAATAATTATTAGTGTTTATTGCAAAGAAAACTATTTCAAGTAGTTTTTTAACTATCTACAATGGTTCGCCAGTGCATAGTTTGTTAAAGGTGGACTATTCTAACTCCTTATTGATATTTGGACGGTAAGTGTTATTACATTTTTTTAACTTTAGCAATGCCTTTACAGTAGCGTATCTAAGTACTTTTAGTTATTTAAGTAGATTATTACAAAAATACGTATATTTTCTTATGTGCTGGCGGTTTTGATTATGAAATTAGACTTATCCTCAATTAGACCTCAGGCAAAACCGATCTACGTTTTAAGTCAATTATTTTAAGTATTTGTCCATTTCGTTGTTACAGTTGATGGTAAAAAATGCTCAGGGGTAATACTGGCTGTTCTCAACTTAACATTTAAAAACCTTTTTTATATTATATATCTAAGTACCAACTAACATTCGAAACCGCTATAAATATCTTAAAAATTGTGTATGTTATGGCTAATATCTGCTGAAATAAAACAGCTGTTGCTGTTATAGGTAGTTAATACCTGAAATTTGAACACGATTTGAACATCTACCTATATGTATGCTTAATTAGTATGACAAAGTTAGCTAATGTTCAATTAAAGACATTTAATTTTTATAATTACTTCAGACTTTATTTAGAGATAATTTCCACATTTCTCCCCAATGTTGAAAGAAAACTGTTTTTGCAATCTAAATATTAATATTATTGAACTCTAGTTAACATTAGCAGGTTTTAGATATTAACCATTAACACATATGATTGATCTATTATTTTATTTATTATAAAAAATTCTATAAGTAATTACATAATAGGTAAGGTTTAGATATAGGTATTCAAAATTCAAATTAAAAAAGTTAATAAAATAAATAAAATTATAATGATGCTTCAGTACTTAAAAAATATGCACTGTTTTGAATGATAATGATAAGCCTTACTTATGATAATTCTTTACTCTTTCATTTATGATATTTTTTTTTTAGTTGTGGAACCCTTTACACTTTTACCCACACTTACCTATACACCCACACACACACAATTCACAGACGAGTACATATATGGTGTTTTAAATAGAGGAAAATAAACCTTGGAAAATTTTTCCTTTAGGTTAATTTTTCCTTTTTTTTTTTTTATTATTTTACATATATTATTAAATAGATTTATAATACTTAATATGTATGTGTTGCGTATGTAACCAATAATACTTTTGTAGCGTTCCTATCTATACTGAGCTTAGACAATGATCGATTTCACTCTTGAATTTGAAAAATCAAACTAACGTGTGTCCAAATTTGTTCTGATGATTTTGATAAGAGCAATATTATGCTCGCCGAATTAACTGATCGAAGGCAAATAAGACCAAATTCTGAGCCTCAAATAGATAATTACCATTTTACTGGGGCTTTATCATACAGGTAAAAAGCAGTCAAATACATTTTTACAGTTAATAAACAAGTATTGTACTAATATTAGTATTTACTCTAGGTTTCTTCTAGTTTGTACCGCCACCCAAAAAATGTTTTTAGAGAAATGAACCTCCAGACCAGCTGAGGGACTAGAGAAGGTCCTACCTAGTCCCGCGATTGGCAGTTTGGCTGGCCCCTCAAATTTGTAAGAACATTGATACATTTTATACATGTATTTTAATATTGATAATTAATTAAAATTCACAGGATTTTGCCTAAAATCATACAAGATAAACTAGCCCTTCTCAAGAAGCCCTTCCCTCAAAACAACAGAAACAGCATTGGAAAAAGAAGTTGGAATTAACCAGTATGTGCTCTTTGTAAGTGTATTCTGGATGTTTGACTGACAAAGCTTAAAAGCTCTTGTATTTTTAACAGAATGGGAATATAGCTGTATTCATAACAAAGTAATATATATAATATAATAATAATGTAAAATGCTAATGTTTATCTGTGTCATCTCTACTGAAGTAACGACTTGCTCTAGAAAGTTGCTTTTTTTACTAAAAGATAGCTAATTGGCTCTTCTAAAAACTGTCATCGCCGGATTTTTTGTTTTTCATTTAATTAAAAAAAAAAAAAAGTATTTTTTCTGATAATAAGTAGCCCGGATGCGCCAGGCTTCAACTAGTATGTAATATATTTTAAATGAAATACTCTCATTATAACTATTATTGTCAAGTAGTGTACTGTGCCTTATTGAATACAGGTGTACACCCTCTTGCGAAGTATTTACTTTTTATACAGGGTGTCACAATAGTAAGTTTAATTTTGACATCAGGTATTTCCTTAAAAAATAGAGACGCGAAATTTCATGTAAACACAATTTTTTGCGGTAAAAGATCTAAACACATTCTTAATCATACTTTTGACGTAACTATAGTAGACGGGATACTTTGACACATTGAGCTTTTTCAAAATAACATTTTTTCTGCTTTTGTTTGCCGTCTTAATTATTTAAAAATTGACATCTCTATCTTTCTTGCAGAAAAGGGGACACTTTGTTTATGTCATGTAGCAGTAATAGATTTCAAGGAAGCTGTTATAATATCTAATAGAACAATATAACGTAATATAACGTTAGTAATATCACTTAGTATCTTATTAATTAAGCACTTTATGGGTTTACTTCCCTATCTTAATTTTTATAAAAATACGAGACTTGTTGCTTCTCATTGTCAAGCTTTATCGGTCGAATATCCAGAAACCCTGTATAATTAACATAGCTATCTTTTATTTTATATGTTTTGTCAAGGATATGTTATTTGGAATTATCTTCCACATTATAAGATCATAAACTACATAATTTTTGCCATAGTGTTGGTTTTTGTTTACATATATTTTCTATAAGTGAGCTTTTGTTTTGCACTAGAAAACATTCTCGCTTAATGATAAATTTAATACTATAGAAGGAAATTATTAGTATTTAGGAAAAAATTAAAAACGAAAATAGGTTTTATTGAAAAATTAATTATTAATGTTTTTTTGTTTGTTTACAGCATAGTAAGACAATCCTCATCTTCTGATCTCTCAATAGTTGGATATTTATTATCTCAAGAAAGTCGTCAAAGTATCAGAAAAAGGTAAAAATTACCTCTACATTATATACAAGGTGGTGCCTCTCCTACGACGCGGAGGCTCCAAAGAGAACGGTGGTTTTTATCGTTAATGTAATTTTGGGAGCATATGTAGGATAATGGAAAGCATTTTATAGAAATATCAAGAGTTCTGCGCGGTGTCCCCAAAGTTATGCATCAAAGTTTTTTTTTTGTAATGGAACACCTATATATTAATTGATTTTCGGATTCTAGGAAAGAAATAAAAGTGAGTTTCGTTAAAGAAGCATATGTCTAAAATGTAAGGCTTGTCATATTTCACATTTGGTGAAAATAATGAATAAACTTTAAATTTCAATAACAGCTACCTAGATGGAAATTTACTCATTGTATATTTAACCAAATTAAAATTTGACCTTAAGCATTCTATTAATTGATGAATGCACACTGCAATTAAAAGATCGGAATAGTATTCTGGGTGTTCAAATAAAAGGGAACTTGCTGTGTTCATTTCAAATAAAAGGGAATAAAATTACATTTTAGTCCAATAATGAAATTCACCTTTATTTTTCTCATAGAATCCGAAAATCAAATAATATATAAGGTGTCCCATTCCAAAAAACAAAACTTTGTTGTGTAACTTTTTTGGCGACACCCTGTAGAACTCCATATTTTAAAAAAACACATATTTTATCACATTTATATGTTTAAATGCTCTAAATTAACCTACATATACTCCCAAAATTTAATTTCAATACAAACTCTTTCTCCTTGGTAGCATTTAAGAGGCGCCACCCTGTATCTTAAGTAAAATTGTGCATAAGTTATTTTAATTTCAGAAAGAAGTATGTTAATGAGGCATTATAATGATATTATGTAGAAATTTAAGTCTTGTAAAAATTTGGAAACAAAGAAAATGAAAAATACATACTTTACAAATAGGTCTTAGAAGATTGAAAAATAAAATAATATCAATGCATCAGTTAATTGATTACTTAAAAGAAAAATTTTGATAAAGTGAATCAACTGAATTGACCATTCAGGTATGAATATATAGGTATGCAGGGTGACATTTTAAAAACATAATGGTTATAAGTCAAAGGTATATGTGAGGATCCAAAAAATATAAAACCAAGTAAAACCGCTAAAATCAATTTCACAATAATTGAAGCTGTATCTCCTACTGTTTCTGAGATCCCAGTGCTTGTAATAATTATCTTGGACACACTATTTTATGTATATATTTGAAGTGGCGGGCGGAGGGAACTATAATAATGTAAAGTTATCAGCCATTTAATAATTTAGTCCTACAGCCATTATGTCAAAATCTGTCCCCAAGATTCATTAACAAGTTTTAAATTTAGTTCTGGTCTAATTTTGTGAATGATACACTAATCCATATGACAGTGGCATAAATACGATTAATGGAAGGTTCTAGTTTCCATGACAAAGCCAGGTCTAAATTTTAAAACCCTTTAGTGAATTTGGATGTGTCTAAAAAAGACTAATAATAATATTATAGAGATATAACATTAATAGAGATAATATATGTTTTTTAGGCTTCCTTAGCTGAACCAGTACAAAGTATTTTATAGAAATTAATGCTCAAGAGATTTAATAACAACATAAAAACATGTTTAGAATAAGTTAAAAAAAAATATTGCCCTAATCTTTCAAAATAATTTATTATTTCTCTTCTTATTAATTTGGTCCATATTTATTTCATCTAACGGCGGCAGCTCTTGTTCAGGCATCATTCTGGCTGTATTGTGTAGCACATTGAAACAACAAAATCTAAAAATTTAAGTACATACATTAAATTTTGTTAATTACATTAAAATTAATTAAACAGATAATATTTTTCTTAACTCACTGTTGTGCAACAATAACTGACATTGTGTTTTGTAATTTTGGTCTTATACCATAAAACATATTGGAAAGTGGCGTTTCCATATAACGATAATTCTGAAACATTTCTTCAGCTCTATTTCTGCATATATCCCCTCAATTCATATGCAATCTCACCTTATAACAGATAATAAAATAATTTAATAGAGTATATGAACCCTTTGAATATTATCACATTTAATTTTAAAAAATTTCTTTCAATTCATCTTATTCGTAATATATTTCTAAATTGAATACCTACTCAAATATTTAAGGAATATATTTTATATAAATGATCTAACAGTAAGTAAATATACGGACCACTAACCAAGCAGAATTTAATTTGAAAAGTCACCAGTCTCCAAACGGGTCCTTAATGTCCAAAAATGGTGGCTTCATGCACAGACCCATGCCAACAAGCAATCGAGTCTATAGTTTTAAGACTAGCATTTCCAGTAATTTAAATGTTGGGGAAAATAATGCTTTTCTATTTCTAAATGCCTCTCCATCAATACCCCCTGTAAAGTATAAGAAACCTTGTGCTGATAAATATTGAAGAAAATATATAGGTACTTACCAGGTGAATGTTTTCTTACATTGTGTTCCATCAACTATCCCTATAATCCCAGGAAACCCAAATATACTATAAAATTGTTGTTGATTTAAGGCAGTTATGCTGTTGTTTCTGGAAATAGTAAAGAACAATGGTTCAAAGTATAAATATAATTAATTTATCTTACATTAGATTTACTAGCATTCCAACTTACCTCTCATTTTGATATTCTAGATTTTGTTCAATTAAACCCAGGATATATATTACAGTGTCGTTTAAAAGTCTCTGTCCTAAAAACTTAAGGAGGTTCATTTCTTGGCAATATGATTTTTCCTTACATCCACTCTTGAGGAAATCCATTTTCAATGAATATACCTACTAATCGACGTCTAGGATATCAAAAGTAATCATCGAACTTACGTAGAGGTATCATAATACACTTTTAAGCACTCTCAAGGAATAATAATAATTCTTCCTCGTAAAACAATTTTTTTGTGTCTAAGATAGGTTAAGTGGCCACTAGCCTGGAAATTTGACCGCTTAATTTAAATATAAATTCAAGTTAGATTAAAGCATAGTGCAAGAAAATAAGCTAAACATAATGTTAAGTTTTGCTTAAAAAACTTGGTGCAAACGCCCCTACAGCCCCTACATTGTAAATTATCGATATTACTACGTATATTACAAATTAAAATTTAAATTAAAATACACATAATAACTATTTTAAAATTTTTGATAAAAAAACACCACACCACCGTCACGCCACTGATGGAGTGAAATGACAGAAAGACAGACGAAACTCAACCGTGTTGTCATATTTATGTACCCATCTCTTTTTAACTCTCATAAAAGTGCCAAACCATGTATGATTCTAAAAAATTGAGTTTTATGAATGGAGTGTTCTGTCTACCTATATTTAGATGTCTTTGGTTAATATAGTCATATTAATTATTATAGCCCGTATGATTTCTAAGCATTATATAAATTAATAAGCACTTATTTAAAATTCTTCATGTATTCGAGGGGTAAGAATACTGTATAATGCCAACCGAAAATGTGTATTTAGTTGCGGTAATGCTAGTTTGCATTTTCTTACTTTGCTGAGAAATGCAAATACTAACTATTGTTTATTTTTTTTAATTTCCCTTTTCCCTCTGGATCTCAGAATTTCCCACGAATGGGGACATTTCCCATGAGTTGGTATCACTGATCTAAATTTAATTATTACGAGATTATTTTAGCTCTTTTTTATCGTATGTATGTATGTATCTCTATTTTCTACTTAGAGGTAGATGTTCTCATGGGGACCCTGATTTGATCAAATAAAGACATTTCCTACTTAGAGATGGATATTGATTGGAGGAATATTAAAAATAGGATCGTGGAAATCGATTCATTCCGCACTGCTTAGAATGCAGATCGTTCAAATGAATCCTAATGAGTACGAATCTTTATAGATTCGTTCATACCCATAATAGCACTGCGTAGATTATGTAATAGGTCTGTCAACAAAATTTAGTTTTCTACTGCAAATTATAAATTTGTGCATATTGAAAGACCGTACAGAGTTTGAAAACAAATACTCATATACTTTTCGAGTTATTCGTAATTCAATTTGAATCCTTTCATGGAGGCGGGAAAACGCTGCCAGGACAGCTACCGTGGGTGTGACGTCACATGCTCGCTAATCCCGCGTAGTATCGTTGTATCCCTGTCTAGATTTAATTACATTAGTTACATAGTTGTAGTCAAGTTTTATCTGTACTACAAGTTACGCCACTGCATTCAGAATTATTTGTACCGATTCTGTTTTACGCTTAGTCATAAACGACCCTTCAATTATTATTAGTCGATGGAAAGTCCTTATTGTAAAATTATATAGCCTCTGTTCAGACCTTGTTCAGACACGTTTGCATTTTACGCAAACAAAGGATCTACTAGGTACAGTTTTAACACTTAATCACACTTTTTAATTCAATTCAGTTCCAAGATGTCGCTTTTTACTCTACTTTTCAACACGCACTTTACTTTTTACCTCTCTAAGTTCCAGACAGTTCAGAGTCGGCAATTTTTATATTAAATTTTACTTTTAAAACTAATTGTTTAAGTTTTCCTTATATATTCAAATCTTCCCATTCAATTTCGAATGTCTTTTTACAATGGAAGTTTTTGGACATCTCAGAAGTCTACATTACAGTCTATCATCGACTGCTTGGAAATTGAAATTCAAAAACCTAGTGTCTATCTTGTGGGTATGGAGGATGGAGGACGCGCAAGCGATGTTGCAATTTTTGAAGATTGTGGATATTTAAAAGTTCTTCCAGAAAATTGCGTTATTATGGCAGACCGAGGTTTTAAACAAATTGAAACATCCCTAAGGAAAAAAAATGCACATTTATCAGACCTCCAAGTGTTGTAAGTAATGTAAAAATGACCAAGGATGACGTTCTGCTTACAAAACGAATTGCAAGTGTGTGAGTACATATTGAACGTATAAAAAATCGCTTGCGACATTGTAAAATGTTAGGACCCCACTCTACTATTTCTTCAGCAATGGTTCAAAAACTAGATAACATAGTTAGTATTTTCTGTGCCATAATAAACTTACAAAAACCCATTATAATACAATAGTACATTAAGATTATACTATGTCTGTTTCTAAATAAAACAATGGTTTCCTAAACGATATTTTTATTAAGATCTTAAATGTTTATTCAGTAAAAACTGCATACAGTACCTAATTTAAAAATGTTGGTTTTCCCAAAGTGTATGGCAGAGTCAATAAGACCTTTTGTAAAATCCTCATTAATTTTAATTAAAAAACAACTTCTTTTACGGTATTCAACAACAAAAATAATAATGTAACTGCTGTAAATATCGACTGTACTTCAATACCTTGTATAGGGAGTGTCACAGTCAAACTGAATCACGGTCTTGCCGTCGCAAGTGGAGCAGCGTGCGGCAGGCATGTGACGTCAGGCCAATGAGAGCGCGTTTATTTAACTTGAACGGAGCGCATAACTTCAAGAGTCTCTCTTGTCAAAGGAGTTTATTTTTTTTGAAAAAAAAGTTATTTAATTGGTATTATAATACTAAAACATTAATTTTTTACCGCTTTTAGTGCAAATTTTTTTTTAGTGAACAGATCTATTATGTATAAAATCATTGAATCGTAACTTAAATTAATAATATCTGCTAAATTATTTATTGAACTAGAAATAAAAAGTAATGTAAAGTATACTAGTTTAGGTTAGGTTAGGTTGCTGGAGTTTGCAATCCTGTTTGATCCCTCACTCCGAAGCCCTGTGCCTATTGCGGTACCCCTGTATTATTGAACCAAACCTTCCTCTCATTCTTTCTTTGTGTTAAAGCACTTCCAGCTCTTTGCAAAGTTGTTGGCTTCTGCTTCTTCCTCTAGTCCTTCCAAAAAACCTTGCCCTAAAGTTGTAAAGCGTCGGTATTTCAGTGCTGGACAGTGGCACAGCACTTGCTCTATGGTTTCTTCTTCCTCTCCGCATTCTCTGCAGTAGTCGTTGAAAATCTTTCATCTCACGAGGTATACCCCCGTGGGGCAGTTTCCAGTGATGACACCGACAATTATGCGAACTAGGTTCATTTTGTGCTCTAGTAGTTGTTTCGTCTTTTTGCTATCTACCACTGGCTATAGTCTTCGAGCTGTAGTGCCAGTCCTCACGGTAAAGTATACTAAGTTAATGTTATTTTTTTGCTGCCAGGGCTAAAATGGACGTTACCTAACTTTGTTTCACGATTAATACTTATACGAGTCTGAAGTTATAAAGGAGCCTTAAATAAGTGGAAATATTTTTAGGGGAGGTATATTTTGATCGGAAAAACACGCATATGAGGATTTTTATTCGCGATTTATTTATATATTATTATATATAAATATAAAAAAAGGTTTTTTTTAAAATTTTAGTTAAAAAACTTCACATATATTATCAAGTCTTGATAATATGGTAACACAGATAGATCAAACTTAAAAGAAAGAAAACCCAGAAAAAATCCATTTGTTCACAATATTATGGTATTGTCAAAATCGAAGTTATGACCTGTTTCTAATTTGTAATTTACAACGCGGTGGGATTGATTTCAAAATATAGTTTTTTTGTCATTTTCGTTCAATCTTTGTTTTAAAAATCTACCCATCTGCCTAACATAGCTTTTAGAGCATTGAGAATAAGGAATGATATATATTATCCAGATTTCAGTTTTTTTTTAATATTCGTTTTGGCTTTTGAAAAGAAACGTCTCTTGAAGGTAATAAAGCTTCTAGATGTATTTTCTTCTTATTTTTTATAATGTGACTCTTAAATGCGTTTTTAATCTGTTCTAACTAGGGTTTATAATTTTCTGGATCGGGATTCCGTTTTGAAATCCTGGGATTGGAACCTACAAAACAAAGTAGGTTCATTATTAGTGATTAAAAAAATCTATTCTTGTTGAAAAAAGCAATAAAATATAGCAAACACAGAAATATAACTCTGGGATATTGATGTTCTGTTTAGTATAAATAAAATATCGTCGGTGAAATGTGATAAACTGCTAACTCCATTATTCCTAATTTTACAGGAGAGCAAAAAAACGACACAAAAAAATATGTACACATGTAGGAAGTATTTTCATGCGTTAATAAAGAGATAAGAATTTTGTTTGCTGGGGAACAACAAAACTCAATATTTCGTGTTACATCATTTTTTTCAGACACAATAGGGAGATAGCAGATATTCGTCTTGCAGAAATAAGAAATAAAAATATACTTCTGGAGATAGCAACCTTTATTGTTTGAAATTTTGAAAATGGAATTGAATATTACCCAAACAGATTTAGAAATAATCAATAAAATTTAAAAAATATGATATTCATGACCATATATTTATATGTAATATCGTCGGTCTAGAAGCAAAACATATAAGTCCAAAAACGAATAAACTTTTAATGCATTTTTAAAGAACTGAAGTAGCAGCATTTTGGACTTAATGAATATGAAAATAATTTAAAAATTAATCTTATAATTCTTAGAAGATATTGTAGAATTCTTCCATGCTTATCCTAATTTTTATACAACGGTGTTTATTGAGCTTGGGAAACAGTGCCTTGATTTTATTACATTTTTATTACTTTTCTCCTTATTTTTTTTTAATTTTTATAAAAATTATGTATCATTTACATGGAAAAACGTTGAAAAAAGTAAAACTGATTAGGTATTATGGAAATTCTTGTACAGTAAGTAATGTTATTTAAATTATTTATAGCATGCCCATGAATTGCTCGTATATAGAGAATTTCGTTTTTCCCCTTACACTTTACGGATACCCCGTATTTACAGAACGGATCGACGCAGGGTCGGACTGGCCATATTATATATATAATTATTAGGGGGACCCCAGCCTTCGCGGGCCCCCTTTATTGTTCATTATTTATTCTTAACAATATTTGCTTTTGCATTGCATTATGGCATTTGCATTGCATTGGTTTACCTTGCATTAGGGTAGTTCCCTGATTTCTAGACAGAGTGAGTCTTAAATAAGTGCAAACATTTTCAGGGTTGGTAAATCTCGATAAAAGAAACATAATATTTTCTCTTTACCGTTTTTTCAAATAAATCCAAAACAACCGAGTTATTTCCCTTTTAAAATTTCCAATTTTTTGCTATAATTTTGAGAATCATTGGATTTTCTTTCTTATAAATTTAATCTACTATATATGTTGCCATATTACAAACAAAGTATGTTTTTAAACTAAAAATTTAAAAAAAAATTGAATAAAAATCGTGCAAAAAACCTCATAATCTTGGGTCGAAATATACTACCCCTAAAAATATTTGCACTTATTTAAGACTCACTCTGTATATAATAGGGAAAAACTGACCAAAACGTAAGCCGAAAAAATATAC